TTGATTTGCACGTTCTTTTTCATTCTGACAAGATTCAACTGAGTTTTTACCTACAATCTGCACAAGTTCGAGACCGTGTGCTTGGGTATGCTTTAAGCCTTGTGTCCACGATGCTAAATCGGTCTGAATTTTCGATCCGAGTTCTCGAATAGAAATAATTGTACATACATACTCTGATAACTGTAGAGTATAGGCGAGAATGTAACGTTACCACAATTGTAATTTATTTACTAATTTAAAGGTTATTTAATTAAAAACACATTCAATGGTCGCGTTCCATGATGGAATTGGATGAAATAGTCCATGATAGTCCATATATAGGAACAGTCGGCAACACTCGGCACTTCTTCTTTTTCTTAATTTATGGCTCACGCCTCCAAACAGTAAATAGGAGGTCGATACGGCCAGACAATACTCGGCACGCTTCCATCAGTTCTATCAGAGAAAATTAAGGCCATGGCACACACATTCCGTAACCCCGGATCTACAATAGGGGCGAAATCCATAGACGTTGCTCAAGATTCAAGGAGGTCGATTATCTCGAAATAATGCGAAAATTACAAGTGAGCAAATTCACTAGAATACTCATAATTTAATTGGTCAATAACTAGTGAATTTGCTCACTTTTGTAATTTTCACCTCATTTCGAGATACATAAGGTCTGTTCGCGTTGCGTGCACTTTTGGCACTCGGCATCTTCGCTTTCTCTCTTTTCAAGGCCAAATATATATCTATCTCATTTTAAGTGCAAAAATATTTGGGGATTTCATGTAACGCGAACAGACCTATAATCGACCCCAAGGTGGTCTTCTTAAGCTAGTGCATGAACCAATCAGAGAGCCGTATTAGCATCTTAAAACTTGCATCCAATTAGAAAACAGGATTTCGACAATACGAAGCAAAATTCATCGGAATCCTGTTTTCTGATTGGTACGACGCAGAGCGTCGTTCTTGATGCAGTGTGAATCCAGCAATTGCTTGAGATTAAGGGTGCTATTACATGAGCGCGGAAACGCGTAACCAATCAGAAGCAATCCGCTGTTATGGTTTCGCGTTTCACCGATTACTAATTGGTTGCGCGTTCCGTATTTCCGTGTTTCCGCACTCATGTAATAACACCCTAAGTCCGGATCTACAATAAGTGTTTTTAAGACTTAAGCCGTAAGAAATTAACCAATTACAGTCAAATCCGATATTGGAACATGTTGGAGTATGCGACGCGAACAAACCTAAAGTCTTTCGTTAAGTCTTGTGTCCACGATATTAGAACTCGGTCCGAGTTCTCGGATCGAAAAATGTGTAGCCAATCAACTTGCCGATTTTCCGTAAAAACTGTAAGCTAATTGGCTACACATTTCACGATCGGAGAACTCGGATCGAGTTCTATCATCAGCTGCGTTCAGCAGAACGTTTGTTTTGCAACTGTTGGAAGTTTCCTTCGCGCTGATTGGATCATACTTTTAGATCTAGAAGAATGGTCCTATCTCAACACACAATCATAAAACGGTTGCAAAATTGTTGAGTCTGCTGAACGCAGCTATCGATACAAGGCTTTAAGCCTTGTGTCCACGATGCTAGAAATTGGTCCGAGATCTCGGAGAGAGAAAGAATTAACCAATCACATTTAAACAATTTAGTCACATGATCAATGCGATTGGTCAATTCTTTCTTCATCCGAGATCTCGGACGGATTTCTAGCATCGTGGACACTGGGCTTTACAGAGGTCTCTGAGTACAGTTAAAAGTATGGGAGTTTCCGATCCCTGGTTCTACAGGTTGGTATTATTTGAACGTTTGTCAGTTTCGATTTTGAAAGTAAACAGCGATTTAAAGTCCGCTACTTGAATCTGGTAGCGCATGGTTGTTCTGTATGTATCTGACGTTGTTTAACTTTCTGAGAATTCTGTGATTGAATTTATGTAAGTACCGCTGCTTAATTGAAATAATTATTGCCCTACGTCGTTTATTAATTAAGTAATAACACATTAAAGAAAAATAATTATTAACAGAATAAACGTAATCAATTTTTGAGAACGAGGACAGAGATTGTTTCTATGTGCTAATCTAAGCCTAGTTGCATTGTGCATTTGGTAGGGGTACTAACTAATAATTTTCTATTGAATGGTCTTAATTTTCGCGATACGTGTAAACGCATACATGTATTTAATTATTCATTTTGGTGCACATATATCAATTTACGTCATTCTTTAAATATATTGTTGAAAATAAGATAATTTAATGAAAAGTTACTAGTTAATATGTACATCAAATGCTCAGTATAAACTAAGTTAACATATCATGTTTCTGTATAATTATTTTGACCAAATAATAACTTGAAATTATATGTTATGTCTACAGTTTATTGAATACTCTTAAGTCTTTCTGTTAATAAAATTACATGATCTCTTTATGAAATATATGCTAACCTGGGATTTTGCATTTATGCTCCTTGATTTTCATTTGTAGGAACTTTTTGTAATAATTAGTTTTGATCATCAGTATCATGGGCAATTATGCAAGTAAATTGTTATTTTACACTAACGAAAGTCAAAAGGAATGCAATGAACATCAAACAGTTGTACAGCAAACTATTATGGAAGATAATAACATATGCACACCAATATTATCTGAAAAAAGAGTGCTGGGTGATCCACGTTCAGTTAGCAGGAATTAGAAGAACTCCTATTGAAGTAAAATTTTATTAATAATTTGATGTAAAAAAATTTTATGAGAATTTATATATTTTCATAATTTATATATTCTCTTTGACATTTAATATATTTTAATATTTTAATAGATAAAATGTACTTCAAGTGGGGAAAATAAAAAGGCACCAAACGCAATGTCAAAATATTTACAGAAAAAGCAGCATCTTGAAACAGATATGTATGCAGTGCCATCACTAACACCTAAAAAACATCTTGTATCAAAATCAATGGACAGCGATGAACAGTCAGATTCTGTATGTTATTTAATATTTAACTCGTTTACAAATTTTTCTTGCATATATTGAATAATTGGATTTATAATACGTTTGGTTTAAATTATATACTCTGTTATTTTTTTAAATAACCAAGTTATTAAGATCTATATGACTTAAAAAAAAGTGTTCTAAGTTACTTTTTTTTAATGTTTCATCTTTTTAAATAGAATAATACATTTCATTACAGTTTTGTAAAATATATGATTGTTAAAAATTACACTTACACATTATTGAATTTGTTAAGAACATCTTACAAAACTAATAAAATAGATATATTATTTAAAAGATAAAAAAATTATTTTAAAAGATTAAAAAATAATTTGACTTTTGTCTATATAATTGTACGTTATTATGTAGATTTTCTTAATTTTTTTTATTGAAACTTTTTTTATAATTTATTTACAAAAGATTGAGTACTCTTAAATACTATATGGTTGGACTTTCAAATTCAGTCTAATATCTTCTATAATATTATTTAATAAGCAAAATAAGAATTTTATGCATATCTTATACAAATAAAGCATATCATGTATATATATTATATATATATATATAATTCATATTGAATTATTTAAGCATTAAAGATCTAGCTTTGACCGTTATAGGCTTTAATATTCTTACTTGTTTTATCACATTATGGTCGTAATAAAATAATTTATTATCATTTATTATCAAATAAAGCATGTTTTAAATCTTACAATCATACTTACTTATATTATTTGTCCATTCTTCAAAAAGAAAAAATTTAACTTGTAATACATATCTTTATAGATTGAGGTGCAGGATTCAACACCAAACATTAATATTGCAAAGAATTTAAAAGTAATTACGCCAATAGATAAGGAACGCTTTATGATTTTGGGATTAGATCCTAGATCTCCAGCTGCAGATTTTGACAGAACTCCTATCTTAATGCCAAAATCTCTTGCGTTGATAAAAGCACGATCACAAGAAAATTTGAGTCGTAGAGGTAGTTATGAAGTGGATATTTACAATCCGAAAAATTCTCGTCAGAAGATCGATACAGCAATTAATATCTCGGAAACACGATTATCTGATACAGCTTCAGAAAGTCCGAAAGTATTAGATACAGAGGAACAGGATGAAGTATCTAGCACATCTCTGTACAATTCTGATTTAAGTACCTCCAAAAGTGAAAAGGAAATTACAGTTATTAGGAATCCGAAATATATGAGTGAAGAGAGAAGATCATTGGTCTCGGACGAACAGATAGTTGCTACTGATAATGAAGGAGACAAAAACGAGATAACAAAACAGGATGATTGCGAAAATATTGAATCTAATATAAAGACAGATGACGATAAGATTAAATTGTGGCACGATTCACTATCTTCGGAGAAAAGCGTATCAGGTAAGAAGGATGAGAATGAATTATCACGGAAAAAAGTTTCAAGAGATGATGTAATTATAACGTTTGATAAATATACCACAATTAGTACCTCTTTAAAGCCAATGAAGACAGATTTTCGAAAAAAGGGAGACACAATAGGAAAAAAAAAGAACACTAAAATAGATGTTAAACTTAATGAAGTAAAAGTTTTTACTCCTGAGAACAAACAGGAAATTGAAATGTATGAGGTAATTTATACAATATTATAATATATACTATATACATATATATAAAATTATATATATATTTGGAAATAATTAATAATTTCTTTAGAATCGAATACCTCTTGGCAATCGATCTAATAACAATCAAATACAAAAAAAGCCGCAACAATTGTTGAAAAAGAAGACTGTATCTATCGGAACACAGGAGAATACGCCACCATCTAAGACGTGTAGTAGAAAGACTAGAAATGGAACTCAATGGGATTCGAATTCCACGGTCCTCATTTGATTAAAACATTTAGATTAGCTGATTTATCTTATGCTTAAGAATAGAATAGAGATGGCAATAAGTGAACTTGTTATTAACTAATGAAATAGCGTTTAATATACTTATTTCGAAATAAATAAATTGTAAAATAAATTGTCTAAATAAACATTTCATAATATCAGTATTTATTTAAGTATCATGTTTCTGCATTATCGTACGAATTTGAGTTTTTACCATTTGAATCGAAGACTGAAGATCTTTGCTGGATTGTATCAAAGATATTACACTGAAAAGTACATTTGAAGTAAATTAGAATTGTGTATATGTGAAAAATATTACAAACTAAGAAGTTTGCAATGTATAAAATATACAGAATATCTCATGAAGTACTTGCTGACGTGTTAACTTACAGATTGATTTACTATATTTTAATTATTTAGTTGCAATAAGCTTAATATGCAAACATGCCAGTTATAAGCTTGTTTGTATTATACAGAGTTGTCACAAATTCCTCATTCTAAAATTCCATAACTTCCCTGACATTCGTTTTGAATCTTATGTATTTTTATCCTGATTTGGAAATCGTTAAATATTTTGTTAAGTTGTCAATTCAATATAGCAATGTAAATTACTATTAATGTTGCTGATACTGCTTGCATTTTAATTGTGTTAATGGTATCCCCCGCAACTCGCGTAAAGGAACCATGGTAGTGTTGTTGCGCTTGGCTTAGCGCCGATACACTACCGTGTCTCCTGATTCCAAAACTTGGGTCTCTAATAACCCCTTTTTCACCAAGCACTTGATATGCATATTAACTAGTAACTCTATTAAATTATCTTAATTTTAGCAATATACTCAAAGTATGATGTGCTAAATTGGTACAGTATGCATAAAAATGATAAATATATCATGTATATGCTTACACGTATCGCCGAAATAAAGATAATTCAATAGAAAGATACTAGTTAATACCCATATCAAGTGCATGATGTAGAGTGCGTTTTGAATTATGCATGAGATCATTTTATCCTTCTTTATTCTTCGGTGAAGGACAAATGTTGCATCATGCGCTTTGTAATAAGGAACACACCCATTGTCAATCTTGAAAAGAAACGCAAAGCTTACGCGTTGCTCACGTCTACAATTTAAGTCTTAAGTAAGTGTCAATTCTTGTGCTCAGACCCATACTTATGAATCTAACAATTTACATTCAATCTCTGTACGAGCAAGGTTTAATTCCGAAATTCATCGAAAAGAAAATATTGCAACCTTTTAATTGTTGATTGTACGTATATTAAACTTCTTTAAAACTGAAAATAAAATTTTAATTTTCCAGAAAATTATTAAATATTGCAAAATTACTTTTCTCCGATTTTCCTGACCGTTTTCAATTTTCCTGACAATTTCCTGATCTTTCATTTTGTGGTAACCCTGTTGCAATTCGAAGTCGCAAGACGTTTTGAAATTTCCTGTATATGCGTGCCAGGGCATACATACCTTGGATTTTTTATGACTATCTTCTTTTTTTCATTATTAGGCTTTTCCAATAACTTGATTGTGATTTTATTTTCCACTTTCTTTGCATTACAGAATACATTTGTTTTCTCGGTGAAATTTAATCGCGCGATATTTCTAGTATCTATCAATCGTGGTCGAACAACTTTAACTTTATCAATACAGCGTGCTCTGTAATTTTTCTGTTTTCGCACGTTTGAATCTAGATTTTTATTTGCTTGTTGACTCCCTGTCTGCATTATTGCCTCAGTCAATTGATACGGCACCGGATACGATTCTGAACACGACACGGTGCCACTATTACAACCACTCTTCCAATTTATTGATAAATCAGATTCAGACACAGGTCGTAGAGTTGTTGGAAGTATCCCATTACAAATAGAAGACAACGATTCTCCAGGATAGAAATGTTTAATCCGTTCTTCGGTGAGGGGCAAAGTAGGAGTTTTCTTTTTTCTATGATACTGTTCTCTGCAAATAAATATTTAATATATCTATCTGTTTAACATTAAGATTGTGTTTAATATGTAACTACCCAGATAACAAAACGTTCCTTGATATAGAAAGGAAATAGATGCTTACAATTAGCACAAGTTTCTATTCAGTTATCATCACGTTGCCGACATTAGGGTACCTATCATGGAACATATTGGAATGAATTCCGATCGGAATTATTCCGTTTTCCCTAGAAAACACAATAAAAATCTAGGGAATGATTGAATAATTTCGATTGGAATTCCATTCAGATTTGTTCCACGATAGATGCCCAGGACAATAATTTTTTTTTAATGTTTCATCTTTTTAAATAGAATAATACATTTCATTACAGTTTTGTAAAATATATGATTGTTAAAAATTACACTTACACATTATGAATTTGTTAAGAACATCTTACAAAACTAATAAAATAGATATATTATTTAAAAGATAAAAAAATTATTTTAAAAGATTTGAAAAATAATTTGACTTTTGTCTATATAATTGTACGTTATTATATAGATTTTCTTAATTTTTTTTATTGAAACTTTTTTTATAATTCTACTTAAAAAAAATTGAGCATTCTTAAATACTATATGGTTGGACTTTCAAATTCACACACAGTCTAATATCTTCTATAATATTATTTAATAAGAAAAATAAGAATTTTATGCATATCTTATACAAATAAAGCATATCATGTATATATATAATATATATATATATGTATATATAATTCATATTGAATTATTTAAGCATTAAAGATCTAGCTTCGACCAATATAAAGTAAAATACAATCCAATTTCTATAATAGTAAAAACTCGTTAAAGTTTTTATTATACTAATACGTAAGAATTTTTTCAGATTTTTATACAGTCCGCAATAATATAGAAATGTGCACTGAAATTCGAAGACCCAGGTTACGGACGAAGGGTAAAAATTTAACATTGCCGACGGAGAATTAATAATAACAATATTTAGACATACCTTGGAACAAATTTATCTACTCCTGGATTCATCAACTCCTGTTGAATTCTTTTTATCTGTGTTGCTACATCCTTATGGCGTTGTGTAAGTTTTGATTTTGTCTCCTCTAGAGTTTCTAATTCAGGAGCATAACAAACATGCAGAAATCCACCGAAGAAATTTTTATTATCAATTAAACGCTTTGCAACTCTGTGTAAAAAATGATTTGAATAATTAGATTTGATTCTGTAACTTACTTGTAGATTCTTGTATATAATAAATGTCATTTTTTTTTTTAAACAAAAATATATACCTTGCACTCTGAATATGTGTATAATTTACATGATACGTCTCTGTAAATTCTTCTGAAGGATATTCAGTTACCAACTGAATTGCTTTCACATTTCCATAGGGATAAATGAGTTTTCTCACCTCTTGTGCTAATTGCAGTTGTGGTACTCCATGTATTAACAAATGCTGTGATTCATCATTAATTGTGTAAACCTGTTACACAGAGCTAATTTGTCAAGGAAATATGCGAGTAATCATTTTTTTATATGCGGTTCTTCAAACTGATATAAGATACATAAGTAAAAATATAATTTAGAATATAATCAAATAATAAAATTTTTTTTTAAGTAACATTTAAAGCAATCAAAGTCGTTATAAGACAAATTAAATATAACATCAATGCTTCATATTAATTGTTAATTTCGAAGATTAATTACTGGAAATATTGTATGCTTTCTTCTGGCACACAATATTTCCTGGTATTATCAGTCATTTTGTAACCATTGACTCATCGAAATAGCAATTTTGATTTCTTCTTGGTTTTGCAGAAATTCAATAGATCTGTTTGCATTGCTTGAAATCTCAAAAAATTTTACACTTAAAATGAGATAGATATATATTTGGGCGTCGAAAAGAGAGAAAGCAAAGATTGTTGAGTGCAAAATGTATAAACCAGGGATGAGAGGTTGCTTTTACTGTTTCTTAAAATAACAATTTGATGATGACGTTGCAATTTTTTTATGACGATAACAATAACTAACTGAAAGTTAAGGCTGGGAACATCACTTTTAAAAAATAACATTCCCAACCTTAACATTTGATTAACTGTCGACATAAAAAATTGCAACGTCATTATCAAATCGTTGTTTTAAAAAGTGACGATAAAATTAACTTCCCGTCCCTATAAGCAACGCAAACAGATCTAATTATATTCTATAATAACAAATTGTATCATGTTGATATCCTACTAACAAGATTTATAGCAAGTACTTTGCCGAGTTTGTTGAAAATAGATTTGGTTATGTAGATATATTATATTTCCTTAATCTCTATGAAACAGCAAATTAATTCTAGTTAAAGACAAGTAAAATAAAAATTTTATTTTATTGTAGGATACAAGTCTCCAATACTACCTTAACTGCTGTTAATTTTCTTCCTTGTCTGTAAAGTGGTCTACTTTGACATAATTTTTGTTGCGCATGATGCGGCATGTGTACCACTGTACACTTCTCCTCTGACATAATACAACAACATTCCTTTGTCACTTTCTGCAACAATAAAAATTATAGCAAAAGGTAAAAAAATTTTTTTAATATTAAAAATTGACATTCAACATTAATATTACGGATTCTTTCACCAATTCCGATACTAACCGGATCGATCATCAACCACGATAAACACTAGGGCCATGAGGTCTGTTCGCGTTGCTTGAAATCCTTAAATATTTTTGCACTTAAAATGAGATGGATATAAATTTGAACGGTGAAAAGAGAGAAAGCGAAGATGCTGAGTGCAAAAAGTGCATGCAACGCGAACAGATAAGGTTTGTTCGCGTCGCAAGCTCCAACATGCTACAACATGCTCCTATCGTAGCTCCCATGGTGTAAGGGCGATCGTGAGGTGGCTACGTAGTTCAACGTCCACATTTTTTAAACATAGAGGCCACTGCGACTTTCTTTGAAATAGAGTCCTTAGAAGTAGAGAGTCTTCAACCAATCAGAAAACAGGATTCCGATGAATTTTGCTTCGTATTATCGGAATCCTGTTTTCTGATTGGATGTAGAGTGTCGTACGACGAAAATCGGATGCAGTGTGAATCCAGCATAAGGCCGGAATCAGACTACGCATTGAATATTGAGATCGAAGATTGAAGATTGAAATTTGACCAATGAGGGCAAAGGAATTTTAGCTCCTATTGTTTTGATTGGTCAAATTTCAATCTTTCAATCTTCAATCTCAATCTTTAATGCCTAGTCTGATTCCGGCCTAAGGGCGAGTTCACACCTTGACGGAAAAGCAGAAAGCGGAAAAGCAGCAGCCAATCAGAACTCGCACTGGTAGTCTACAATTTCGGCTTTTTGTACTACTTACTACCAGCGCGAGTTGTGATTAGCCACTGCTTTTCCGCTTTTTGCTTTTCCGTTAAAGTGTGAACGCGCCCTAAAGGTAAATTTTCACGAGCTGCTCAGGGTGCCATCACATGCGGCGTAACCTGCGTATTCTAGTAATTTACTAGATTACTACCTGATGAATTTTGGTGAATTTGGGACCAGTAATCTGGTGATTAAATTTTTAGATTCGCGGTAACACTGAAACTGGTTCAGTCTGTTTTGTGATTTATGTATGTACGTGGTTCTTCATGGATTTATTGTGTCGTTAAATTCCTGTCGCTTTATTGGCCCTTTTCTGCGATTCTGCCATCCGGTCTACTATTGCAGAACACGGTGCTTGTATTTCATTAAGAAATCGATAGGTGAGCTGTCCGCTTATAGTAGTATTCACTATTCGTAAAACGTAACCTTAAGCGAGTGGTATGTTAATACCTTGTCAGATGACATTCTCGCGTATCTTTCTCTTTCCTTCTCTATATACATAATATTGTTCAAATCTACATTCGATACCACTTATATTTTGTTCTCTCATCAAATCATGTTTCGAATTTTCGATTCACGAAGCATCAGTTACACATTGCAGCTCCCTATCGTTTCTACGACGACGAAGCAAAAGTGTTTGGTCGATTAGACTCAGATTAAGAGACATATTTGATGAATAAATAGGAGCACCAACAATTTGCGAAGAGTACTTTTCGATAAAGAGCTAATAAAAATGTATAATTTTAAATTGGCTTTATCATTTGTGTATATATATATATATATACACAATGTGTGTGTATATATATATATATATAGAATAGAATTTTATTTACACACTTCAGCATATATAGCCAAGAAGGGGACTTGGTTTACAGAAAAAACTTAACTTATTCACACTTTCATTCCACATTCATTCCTCACCCGATATATATATATATATATATAGGGAATGAAAGTAACTCGTAACGAAGTTATAGTTACAAGTTACTTTTTTTGCCTTTTTACCTCACTGATAACTGCATCACTATTTTTTTGTTATGGTAACGAATTTTACAATTACTTTTTGTATTTTTAACCTATTTATGATATAATTTTTGTTTATTCAATCTTCAATCATTAGATAGTATTTATAACTTGTTCTGATTTCAAGACCGTTTTAATAGGTGCATCCAGAAGCACGACCGTTCAATGAGTTCATGCATCTGATTGGCATATTCCATTAGATTTAAAAATATAGATCAAACAGATACAAAACTCACTAAGTGCTCAATGAGCGATCGTACTTCTGGATGCACCTAATGTTGTAAGATGTTAGTACGTTTCTGTGATTTATTTGTTATTAAATTTAAGATAACCTATTGTTTTTAAGAAGAGAAATTTTGATTGGAGCTTGATATTTGTGCATAATAATACATTAGAATAAATTTGTATATATATATATATATATATATATAGGGGAGACTGGGTCTCGTTGGCACAGTTTTCACAATTTTGGCATTAGATTTTTTAAACAATTAACTGTTATGATTAAAATACATCAGTGTGATAGAGAGAACTTTTCTCTATATTTTCATACTAATAATAGTTCTATACACTATTTACTTTCTTTGCAATAAATAAAATACGAACATGCTGCATTGGAATTAACTTGCCCCAATATGTGGGATAAATTGATACATATCACAGTATAAATTGCCTTGTGATAAATTCTATGTTAAATTCTAAATCGCAATTATAATTTTTGAAATTAATTCATTTAAAATGAATTTGGAATTATATGCTGTTTTTACATAGTATGATTCCTTCTAATTCTGCATATAAAAGTATTACGGTAGAAATATCAGAAAATATTGTTTATGAGATATTCAATATTTTATGTCAAAATGTACTAGAATAAAATATAAAATATCTCGCAAACTATTGATTTTTTAAATATCTATCTTAACTTTCAAATGCAGAATAAAAAAATTATATTGTTCCATTTTAAAAAATGAAGGCGACCTTCATATTTTTTTAGCGTCTTCATCTAAAGGAAAAATAGCATGACAAAATACGTTCCTCTCGAAATCGTTTAACTTTCATCTATAATACTTTTTCATATCATTAATAATTTCGGAGGAATTAATTGTATTGATTAAAATGGACTCCCCTGTATATTACTGTTGCATTCTAAATTGAAATAAATACTCATACAGGATAAATATTTGGTGAACATAATGTGAGGTAATTTATCTTTGTGAATCTAATTGTAATCTGGCAAAGAGGTATTGCAGAAGAGGAATTGTTCATTTTTTAAAATTATAGACATAAAATATTTATCCAATTTTTTGTGAAAATTATATAAAAATTTTTGTTGCAGAGAGATGAAATGAAATCAAGACACTTTTTCAGAAATGGAAACCTAAAGAAAAAATCGAATTTACTGTCATAATGGAACCATTACTTATGAGCAAGGTTCTTCGGGCCCCTAATTTAAAAAGGGGCCAAGAAAATATTAGGATACAAGACAGAGTGAGTAAATTATGAACTCCATTATTATTATACACATTTTTCATATTAGGCTAAGTCTTTCTAAAAGTCTTTTAATGAGTCGAAAATTAGCAACAGTCGGAAATAACTCTATCACCAAACAATTTATTATTTTAATTCTTTGTCTGCATCGTGAGTCTTTCAAAAAACAGTTAAAATTTCAAGTAGCATTGCGATGGGTTAGGGAGAAACTCGGGAATCCTAATCTAAAAAAGTAGGTAGTATAATGAGGATATACAGACGATCGTAACTATTTTCATCACTGACCTAGTTTCACATTAATGGAAATTAAATTGCAAAACGTCAGATTACTCATTAATACTGTCAATTGGTATCTTAAGAATTTATCAACTATACAGAATCAATATAACAATGCATTTCTTAATATGTTTCAGATTAAGCTAGAACGTGTACTGGGTGTAACCGTTTCCAGCAATGCAGCCCTCGATTGTGATGTGACCAGCGAATTGGTTGCTTATCCAGCCGGGTAAGTTTGACTTTTTTCTAATTGATTTTTTAATGACGAATAAAGTTTTATCTTAATGAAAGATAACAAATATACACAAAAAATAAAAAAAAGATTGTGAAGAAAAAAATCTTTCACGTATAATCTCTAATAAAATAAAGAAATTTGTTATTTGTAAAATCATTTTATCTCCTATACCTAATGCAAGGGAATTTCGCGAGATGTCAAATTCTGATTTTAATGAAATTGTGTACTTATAACTTACATAAAGAGATGAATTTAAAAAATATCAGTTGCGGCCAAAAAACGGTTTGAAGAGATGAAATCACCTCTTATGTGTAAAGCAGTTTTCAGCTTTTTTGCATTATATCTCGAAAACTATTCGAGGTATCAAAAAATGTTTGATACAAAAGTTTTACAACAAAATAAACTGTATTCATTTGCGTTAATAATATTTCTTTAAAATAATTATTTTTCAAAATTTTCTAAAAAAGTTTTTTAAAAAACGCTTGGGTTCGGGACGGCGGTGTAGTCTCTAGAACTCAGATGATTTGTTTTGAAGCAGTGAATTTGTATTTTAGAACAGATTTTCTAACCTGCATAGTCATCAACTTTAACTTAAAATATCTCGGTTCGCGGAGCAGAGCGACACTTTTTTCTGCCAGATTTGTTTATTTCGTGCAAAAACACGTCGAATGAGTGTATTTTTATCAAAATCTGAGTGGACCGGAATCTTCTTAATATTTACCCATTATTGTATCAGAACTTGCGATATTCTTTTTTAATTAAAATTATCTCCGTTGCATTTTATAAATTAGTTTTCTTCTGTTGTAGTTGCACTGTCGTACTATTTAACCCACGACGAAACAGTCAAGCACATGTATTAAATGTTTGCCGGAAGACTGTGACTTCCCTGGCGCTGGCCGGGGACGGTAAATTCTTGGTCACTGGCGAATGCGGTCATATGCCGAACGTCCGTGTCTGGGATATTTCTGATCCGCAAAATGCTGTGCAGATCGCGGAATTTTCGGGACACAAGTATGGCATCAACTGCGTGGTGAGTACTGCCTGTGATGACTTTATTTCATTGTTTTCGATTGAGCACTTCTGGCTTTTCATTCTTTATATTTTCGTTGTATAAGGGAGTTTGGCTTTAAGTAAATGTGTAATTATGCGAAAAGAAGTTAATTTTTAAGGCTCCTGAGTAATCGCCGCGGCCATGTTGGAATCGTGACGTCAGTAGGCGAGAAATGACACATTAATTTATGCTGCATGCCATTTGTAAATAAAGATAATTTGGATAAATCTAAATGACGAGATCGCTTTAAAATACTTGTAAAAATGGGCGAAAACTGTCCTTTTCTCTCTTGATAGTCAATAAATGATTATAAAAGGCACGTAAAGTGAATCTATACTCGAGCAGAAACATCCTGTTTAACAGCTGTTGAAACGAGAGTGAAATATACGCTTTTACATATAAAATTCCAAGATAAGTGTAGCTTCCCATTTTTAGGACTTTCATAAGTACGAGACAAGTCACATTTTCACAATTGAGCAAATAATAACGAAATGGCATGCAGCACAAATTTAGACAGAAAAAATTACACAATTTTATTAAAAACAATAGCAATGGTTACGTTCAGTAAGCGCAATGGTTGCACAACGGTTCAGTAAAAAGCTGCTGAACGCGCTGTTGTCAGTGCCCAATACGCAACATGTTTACTGAGCGGACGCCATTTTTTCCATCATATTTTAAGACCGCTACCTGAGCTCAACATGGATTGTTCCAAAATTGACTGCCAGTACTGAAAATCTATAGTGCACGTAACGTAAACTATAGCATTTTCTGTGCTGGCAGTAAATTTGGAACACAGCCATGTTGTCGGTGTATAAGCAACATAACCTAAATAGACACGTTTTTGTGTAATTCTATACCTCTCATATCATTCGCATCGTCGGCAGCAATTAATATTAAATGTAATAAATCCATGTTCACCGAATAAACAATACGAACGACGAAAATGACAAATTAACCTAAATAAAGTCATACAACGGTAAATAGATGATATAAGTCACGTGACTTAAGAGAATAGAATCGTTCAGCAATTGGTAATCGCTCACTCAACGGTTGTCGCAACATGTTGGAAACAAGTTGAGCTTGCTGAACGTAGCCAATGATCTTCATGTGACTTTAAAAAAAATTTATTTCACACTATTATCTGTTCCTCTTTAGACCATATTTGTTTGAAAATTTTTTTTTGTCAATTACTTCGTTTTCAAGATATATTTCCATTAAAATGGAAGATACTCATAAATCAATTATTTTTGTAAAGTGTCATAAAATTAATACAACATTGAATAAAATGTATTAATTTTGTGAAAGATGAAAGGCTTAAAATTAATCCTGCGAATTGTATAAGATATCAAAAGAACATTTATCTTTTTATTTTAGGCATTCTCACCCAACATTAAATACGTTGTATCAGTCGGTTCGCAGCACGATATGATTGTCAACGTTTGGGACTGGCGAAATGATGTTAAAGTAGCATCCAATAAAGTTTCGAGCAAAGTGAAAGCTGTCTGCTTCGCAGAAAATGGCAATTATTTTGTTACCGTGGGTAATAGGCACGTTAAGTTTTGGTACTTGGAATATTCACGAAGCGCTAAGGTACACACTCAACTCTGTTTTACATCTCTTGTAAAAGGTTAATTAAGCCAAATATACACGAGGAAATGAAAAGTGTTAATAACAATTAAAAATGTATGTATATTTAAAGGAATTAATGAGCGAAACGTTTCGACTTGGCAAAGTGTTCTTTTCGTGACTGCTCACTACCGAGAGCCTATGGCTTGCGGAAGATGCACAAAATGAATATTCTACTAAGAATTCTAATATCTTCGATTGATACAACTTTCTATCCCGACACAATTGCTTACACAACTTAATATCAAACAACATTCTGCATGATGTTGGCCATGTTGATAACAGCTTTGATCCTTTTAATTCATTAAAAGAAAAATATATCACTTTTTCATGTGCTACTGACGGATTAAAAAAGTAAGTAAGACAATATATTGAAAAAAAATACTGATATATCAATGGAAGATTTAAATTTTACCTATAATTTACGCTGCCTGAAATATGTATTATTTTAAGAATTACTAATATTTAATTTTTGGTTTTATTAGTTTAATGTTTGGTATACACGTCACTAAATTATTAAAGCCTTGGATCAATCTTAATAGAGAGTGTGTGAGTTTATTTAAAAATTAAATTTTTACGTATTAGTAAAATACATGGGTTACAATCCCAACATTTATGCGTGAAACAAATATCTAATTTGAAATTTCACAACTAAAAATTCAAATGAATAACGAAAAAGAGTTTTTAAAAAATTTAAAGTGACCTTGACAACATCACTCAAGGTCAAACTCATGAGTACCATCTTGTATCCCCCACGAAGTCGCATAACTTTTGTCTAGAACTTTTTTTAATCCCACGTCTTCTCGAGATATTTTAGTGTATTAATTAAAATGAAACAACCTGTATAAATAAATATATATCTATAGTTGTAAAAATCTAAAGGTGTTTCATTTAAAATTTTATAGCGACTGAAAACGACACTTAGTAAAAGTTCAAATTACTTCGCTCATTAATTATTACTATTATTAATTATTAATTACTCTATTATTATTATTAATTAAATATATATATTCATTTTATTCACTCATTTATATTTGGCCTATTCAATCTTCGATTTTCTTCTTTTACTTTTTTCTTGATGTAATAGAAAAGTAATCTTAATGTGATATTTTATTATGCAGTATAAAGAACCCGTACCTTTGATGGGTCGATCTGCTATATTAGGAGAACAGAGGAACAATGATTTTGTTGATGTAGCCTGCGGTAGGGGAGAAATGACGGATTCTACATACGCAATAACCAAAACAGGCTTGCTGTGCGAATTTAATAATAGAAGACTTTTGGATAAATGGGTCGAGCTTCGAGTAAGTTACTTCAAATGATTAGGCTTAATTCTACGAACACTTGCGAATATAATATGAAGCAGAAATGAATAGACTACAATCAATTTAAAATTCCTGTTTAGGGGATACTTTTTTAATGACCTTGACGTATGTTTACATATGTTGTCAAGATCAGACTCTAACACTTTACAGAATTAACCCTTCGTGGTCACATTGAGGTCAAAATGAGCGCACTTAACCAGTAATTTTTTTGATTTCACAGAACGAAAACTGTGAATGTGGCAATCGATTAAATGCGTTCTAGCATCATTTTGACCTCGTTGTGACCAGTACAGAACTTTTAAAAAGTGTGACTAATGACTAGTGACTAGTGACTACGAAGGATTAAAAAAATCTTTTTATATGTTTATTTGTGATGAATTTAATCACTCGCACTACACTGGATCAGTGCATATTAAAAGCTGTTTTGTATAAAATATCTCAATGCAGTGATACAATACAATCAATTTTGAAATGATACATATATATTTTGTTAAATAACGTGAAAATATCATTAATCATTAATATCATTTAAAATATTTATATACTTTTACATTTAACTTTGTTAATTTCATGTAAAGCAGCTTTTAGTATGCACTGATCTAGCATAGTGCAAGTGACTGAATTCGCTATTAGTATACACACGAATGAACCTTGGGATACTCAACTTAAATTTAAAAACGTAAAAATAGGGGCGAAACTTGAGCGCCGATTTTCCTTCTCGGAATATATTCTACGCATGAAAATACACAAATTTATAAAATTACGGAAAAATCAGTGGGGAAGGCATTATACTAAATATTTACCATTTTTATTGTTTTTCTAGACAAGTAGTGCCAATTGTATGGCGATTGGAGATAAATATATTTTTATTGGATGCGCTGAAGGTATTGTAAGATGCTTTAGTCCTAGCACACTTCAATTTATTACTACACTACCGAGAACACATTACTTGGGAGTCGATGTCGCACAAGGATTATCCATCAGGTTTATTTTTATAACAATCGCGTATCTCGACAATTTTTTGTTGCGGTAACTTAGAAATATCTTTTTATTTACTTTTTAGCCATATGTCTCAACATCCGTCTAACGCAAAATATCCGGATGCGATTGCGTTGGCATTCGATGAGCGAAATAACAAGCTGACTTGCGTATATAACGACCACAGCATCTACGTTTGGGATGTGAGAGACATCAAACGGGTTGGAAAATCACACTCGTTCCTATACCATTCAGCTTGCATCTGGGGTGTTGAGATGTATCCGGTTGATACAGATTCCATCGGTGCGATGCCGCCTGGAAGTTTCATTACTTGCTCTAGCGACGATACAATAAGGGTCTGGAATCTAGAGAAGGACAATTTACCGAATGATACCTTATACAAACGGAATATTTATAGCAACGTCAGTACATAGGCGCGTGCGCCAATTTTATCCCTTTTGTAAAATCTAACAGATTGAAATGCAGACATATAGAATTGATATTTTATTTTTCAACGTCATTTCATTTTCTTGATCGATAGGAATTGCTCAAGGTGTTGTACATAGATTCAGAATTGACTTATCTAAAGGATCTGGACTTAGCCGCGGCAGGATCCACTGATAGAAGCGATACATCTTACGACAGTCGTAACGGTGTGAGATCAATAAGGGTCGCTCCTGATGGCAAGCACCTCGCTTCTGGCGATAGGTAACGAAAGAAAAATTCATTTGATTGAAAAGAAATAAAAAGATGAAGGATATAGGAGAGACTGGGGATAGTTGATATACGGGGCATATTGATACACTTAAAATTGCTACAAAATAACAAACAATAATATTCCATTAAAAATATAGTATTTCTGACTGAATAGCGGTTTTTCAGAAATAGAAAATATTTTCACACAGTTTTTGATAGGCTAAAGTAAAATGAGTCTTGTTATTTTATTTGGATATAATATTTACATATTATTTTTTCAGATCCGGCAACATCAGAATTTACGATGTTTCTTCGTTGGAAGAACTATGTCTAATAGAAGCACACGATGCCGAGGTGCTATGTCTAGAATATTCCAAGTTCTCACGACATTCACTAAACACCCCTAGACTATTGGCAAGTGCATCTCGCGATAGATTGATTCACGTTTTCAGCGTTGATCAGGGATATAATTTCCTGCAGACACTTGATGATCATAGTTCTTCCATTACTGCAGTCAGGTTTTTTAATCAATTGAGTCAGGGTAATCAAATACAGATGGTATCCTGCGGCGCAGATAAAAGTATAATTTTTAGACAATTGCAATCGGTAAGTAATCCTGCTCGATGATCGATAACACTGTTCAACAAAAAAATGTACAGAAACGAAGATAATCGTTTCCCGTAATTTTTGGACGCTGAATACGATCTTGTTTATCAAATTATTTCATCGCATCACAAGTTTGAGAAATTTGTAGTTAAAGTTACAAGAAAAGGCTTCAATTTTATTCCCAACCTAGCCAGACTGTCCGCCTTCTCATTTCCTCTGATATCCAGGGACCCATACTAGAGTGGCTTATTATTTCTCCTAGTTTTGCCAACACTTTGCATACAGTTTCACTATAGACGATTCGGTAATTATTCGGATTAGGGGACACCGCGTCAATGACCTTGACTTTGACATATGTTGTTAAGATTATAACCTTGAGTGACCTTCAAAAGATTTTAGGCGGTCACTGTTCGTTAAAAAGTTATTAGCAAAAAATGTATATGGAGAGCGAGAGAGCGAGAGAGAGAGAGAGAGTAAATAAAATAAAAGATTAACTACATACTACATACAAAGTAAAACGAGGTTTATAATTGTATACTGGTTCCACATGACTTTTCGAATTTCACATGAAACAAGGTCCACCTCATCTCCCCTCTTGTCTAGGGGAAGGTCGGTTGCCCCTTTTGCGATTATAATCGCAAATTTCTCCTTGTAACGTAATGGAAAATTTTAGTAAATGTCATCATATTTAGCACCTAAAAATTATGAGAAACAATTACTCTCGTTGTTATGTTCAAAGAAAAATAATTTTGTTGAACATAATTAATTTGATATCTGTGTTCATCATGTATTACGATTCTTTCTTATGTTTTTAGACATCAAGTGGAATGCCACAATTTGCTAGAGGCCGCAACGCTCAGGGAAAAACTACCTTATATGACATGGAAGTCGATTCCGGACAGAAACATGTGCTAACTGCCTGTCAAGATAGGAATATTCGCGTTTACAATGTTACTACGGGTAAACACAGCAAGACGTTTAAAGGTTCCGTTAGTGATGATGGTTCACTAATTAAAATTGTTCTAGGTAAGATATAATTTATAGCTTATCGCTCACACACACATTGCTGCTTTATCATAATGAAATGAAAAATTTTGAAACAATCCGTTACGTGATTTACTTGTCTTAATTACATGATTTCGTTCTCGAAAATTTGAATCACATATGACATTTTGTTGCTGCAGTGTACTGCATATGAAAAGTCAACTTTATTGGGAATTAGAGCAGCGATTTTTGTTACAAATTGCTCAAATGATCTAATCAGAGTATCTCATTTGATGTATTTTCAGATGCGTCCGGTATTTATGTAGCTACCTCATGTACAGACAAAACGTTATGCGTGTACGATTATTATAGCGGTGAATGTATGGCTACTATGGTTGGTCACTCAGAATTGGTAACAGGTTTACGCTTCAGTCCAGATTGTCGTCATCTTGTGTCTGCAAGCGGCGACGGCTGTGTATTCGTATGGCGTGTTCCACATGATATGGTCGTAACTATGCAGGCTCGTCTAGCCCAACAAGCAATGCGCGCCGGCAAGTAAGTAGTTTCTTCTTTTCTGTTTGTAAATCTTAATTACTATTATGTGACTTTAACTAAAATAATTGTATCTTTTCCAAATATATTCATAGAAGACCGCTCCAAGTCAATGGTGGTGGAATCGACGTGCGGTTAGATAATGAAATTTTCGGTTCACCTCCATCGGATTTTCTCGATCCCAATGCAAATCCGACGCTCCAGAGTGTAGATTATAGATTTAGCGTTGGTCAGTTGCCATTATGGGCAAAGAAGCAAATGAATACCGCGAGTATTGATGATAGTGCAACACTAAGTTCAAGTGTCAGATCTCTTGGTGTTGATCTGCCAAAGGGACGATGGGCGCAAAGAGTTCAACAGGGCGACGGTATCACTGTAAAGTCCGTCTATGACAGTGATGAAGTTATACCATTTCCTCCGTCGCGCAGTGCCATTGATTCGGATGGTGGTGATGGTGGTGGCTCGAAGGACAGCTCCATCGATAGCGGCACAGAGACAAAATGTAGCAGCGATTATCGTCGAGAAACATTAATTAGTAAAACGGTTGGTAGAAAAAGATGTTTAGGAAAATTCTTTACGATAAATAACTTGCGATAGGTAGATTGCAAATTAAGAAAAAGAATGCAATTACGAAATTATAAGGCCAAAGATATTTTTATATTTCTTTCACCGAATTATTTAAAAAAATTTCTTTTTATACGATTGATTACATTTTGATCGGTACTTTTCTTCCGAAGTTTTTTTTTTGTAATGTTAATTCAAATTTGACAAAAATGATTTTCTTTTATAATTTTAATTGTTCATAACTTTTAATAGTGATAATTTTTTTAAAACTGAACAATACAATCACTCAGATAGTTAAGTCCGTAGAGACAGATTACCAATGCTATCACTTTTTGATGATAGAAACGCAACAAATTTCACACAGTCTATAATATATAACGATGATGCCAGAAATGTGACTAACAAGGGAAGTTTCACTGTCCGGAACCGATTTGATTCTCCATGAAATATGTTGTTAAACACGAAAATCTAAAAGACACGTATTTTTTTATACCCTTATGCCTTAATCATGTTTAACTTAATTAAACTCATGTTTAAGGGGTGAAACACCCCTTTGAAAAAAACAGTATTTTTCTTTCAAGGCGAATATCATCGGAAGTATAAAAGATAGAAAAAAATTTTTTAAACAAAAGTTGTATGGTTTCAAGAGTACTTCAAAGTTGTGAAGGAAAAATTAAAAAAAATTTTTTTGTTAACAGTTGTTTATTATATTCTTTTAATGTATTGCTGTTTTTTTTCCAATCTAAGAGCAGAATATTATTAATATTTAATTGCGATTTTAGGAAGAAGAGGAGAATGTATTTCAATCTTGTCCTAAAAGTTATAGAGAGATAGAAAATGAAACAAAGCAGGTACTAACAAAGTTATATGAGTGTTATTGCATGATCATATATGTTATTGTCTTTTTAGCAGATCCACTTTTGTTTATTGATTATTTTTCTTTGATCTTTTTTAATCATTTTTAGTCGTTTTTTTAATCATCCTTTTTTGGCAATTTGCATTGTCAATTTGCCGTCATATTTGTTTCATTGATTACATTTTATTTCGATCACTGATATAGATAATTGGCAATAAGGTGACAGTAAGAAGTAATAATATTACGGAATTGACACGTCAATCGAGGAGTCGTCATCATACCGACGATAGCAGTCTTGGCAGCTTTAAATTTGAGGTAAATTCTCCTAAAAACACGAAATATTTTCAAAAAATAATTATCTGAAAATAGTCTATTTAAGAAATATTTTATGAAGCCGTTTTTTCTAAGCATGACAAAATGTATCATGTGTTGCATAATAATATTTCTGCTAATATTACATCCTCAATTGACATTTGATATTTTATTCATATGCTTATGTGTTATGTATATTTTTAATTTAATTGTCAGTTATGTTATTAATAAATAACGCCCCGCTGTATCTTTATCTAAAAATGTTTGTCATTCAGGATCATGAAAGCACTGAACATGATGGGGATGTTGAAGATTATTCCGAAGGGGAAAATGGAACGACTGGTTCTGAAAAGTCACACCATAGATTAATGTATTATCCTCCACCAGAAGATATTGTGTCAAATCAATTTACTGTTAATGCGATGGATGTTGAAGAGCTCCGAAGGTTTATTCTTGATTCAATATATTTATGTTCTTTTGATCGTATTGTGAGCCTTTCATCGAATAGGTACAAAATATATCTTATATGCATAGATCACAAAGGCGTCAAAGAAAATTGAAAAACATAGAGAATGGTCGGACGAGCGAAATGACTGCATCTGGCAGTCAGGACGAATCTGATTCAGAAGGCGGAGCATCGACTCCTAGCGCTGAGAGAAATCCATTATCTATGTTATCCGAAGCTAGCTCGGAGGGTTTTGATCAGCTTGCTAAACAAAATCACAGAGAAAAATATCTGAAAAATGCCTTCGAATCGCTTAGTGGTGCGGAGGAGCCACCAAATCGTGTAAAAGCAACAAGTATTAGCTCTCAGTTTCATGGAAGGTAAAATAATTTTGATGAGTTGAAATATTATAATATTAAATTATGATATTAAATCGTTATTTTAACCATTGCTAATTACTGATTAATTTGATTTGTTATAGACTTAGTGGTGAAAGTAATACCACTACCAAAATACGTAATGCAGCAGTGGTTAATGTAACAAAACATACAAAAGGTAACGATGATGTTGTGAAGAAACGGGAAGAGTTGCAGAGAAGGATAGAAGAAACCAGAAGAAAATTACAAAGTGTAAGTTTCACATGAGAAAAGCAAAATGTTTTTCAGGAATTTTCGTAATATAAGAGAAGAATATAATTTTTTTTGTCAAAGTGGATTTGATGCTTAGTAACATTTATATGTGAATATATAAATACAATTATCACTTCTATAGAAATTCTATCTGATATCAATCTCTAGAACTGATAATTGTATTTGTATATTCACATATAAACATTAAGCACCAAAAATCGCTTTGAAAATGGCATTGTTCTTTTATTTGTACGAGGGATATCCAGAAAGTAAGCTCCGTTTTTAAATTTTGCCGCCGCAACGGTGCAGTCGCGATGGATGCGTGCCGAGTTTGTTGATTTGTTGGCAAGGGATTGACGCGACTTTCAATATTGGTTCAGTGCATACACATTTTAGTGTGTTTATAATATTTAAACAAATCGCGACACCCGTCGCTTGTGAAATACGGTCTGTGATTCGTTTCTTAAATGCGAGGAACATTAATGCGGCTGAAATTCATCGTCAAATTTGTGAAATATATGGAGAATGTGCAATGAGTGATTCAATGATACGGAGATGGATGGCGACTTTTCAATGAAGGATGCGAAAATGTGCACGACGATGAACGGAGCGGGCGATTGTCTCTGGTTAATGACGATATAATGCGTGTAGTTGAAAAGAAAATTAACTTGAAATCCTCCCTTGCTGGCCGGCGATTTCATGATGACAATGAGGTCAAAAAAAGCTGTCACCACGTAGTTTGCCTCACAGGCGACAATTTTCTATGACGAAGGGATATGATGAATCTGGTGCCTCGCTATAATAAGTGCATTAACAACGACGGCAATTATGTAGAAAAATAGTGTAAGGTGTGTACTTTAAAAAGCAATAAAAATTTTTTGTAAGTATGTACTTGTTTTCTTTTAATAGGCCATCTAAACTTACTTTCTGGATAATCTTTGTATTTAAACATTTCTCAGTCGATTTTCATTTAATATTGTTTTTCGTAATAAAGTTTAATTCTTACTTTTGTAGGTCGGTTATAGATCGTTACTGAAATCCAGCCAAAGCATATCCGATTTAAGCAGTCATGTACAGGAAAAGCATCGTCGTTCAAATAGGCTCAGCACAGGTAATAAATCTGGTCAGCAAAACCAATTTGCAAAACCGATTAATCCTTGCAAACCTATACTAAATCCAAAGCCCACGTTTAAATCCCAGCAATCCATTAACAAGGTTCAAGGTATGGGGAATGCATTACCTAAGCTAGAGATACCAAATGAAAACCGCTTGTCGAAAAGTCCAACTATGTTGTGCATCAATGAGAAAGCAAAAACAACTCTTAACCGTCCATTAACGTTGATATTAAAAAAAACTGAAAAGTATAAACTGTCCTTGAATAAAGCTAATCAATCTTTGCCCGAGTCTCCTGTATGTGAGGAATCAAAACTATTGAAAGAACAGTGTAAGAAGAACATAAGTCGATTTGCAAGATTTGCTCATAAGAGAGGATCTTGTAGTTATTTTATCGGTCTGAATGATTATGAGAAGGATATCGAGAGTGTTGCGAAATCTTTCGAAAGCTTACCTGCTATGAAGGAACGTAATATGGAGAATCTCAAGGAGATCATTGATAATGCTGACGAGGGAAGTGGCAATTTTAGTGATGATTCATTGGAAGAAGATTTTAAGAATCCACCTCGACGTTGCGTCAGTGATTATCAGATAAACGTTCATATGAATGACTGCGGAAGTTATTCGAATTATGAGAATATCCAGAAAAAAATTTTAACTGGTTCTCAAGAAAGCATACTTTCGAATGCCTCCGTTGAGTCATTCTCTAAAGGAAGCGCTGAAATCTTGGATTATAATCATTATGATTACGATAGACACTCGAGTGCGAGTTTCTTTTTGTCTCGACGTAAAATGCAGGAAGGGAGAAGTCAAGAGAGCATATTAACTGATGAGTCGGACTATCAGATGTTTCCGTTGCGCGAGAACGCTGATCATCAAAGTACAGAAAGCGTGTTAACTGATGACTCGGATTCCTTAGTGAAATCTGCACCCCTGGAAATGTTGTTTGACTCACATTATAAGCGAAAAAGACAAAATTCTGAAACCTATAGCGGAAACCCTAATAACATTGTAGAGACCATTACGGATAATGCACAAAGCTCTCCTAATAAGAACACATCATACAGAGCGGTGTTTAGATCGAAATCTTTGCAAGATACTAGAATCAACAAAGCGAGGAATAATACAAATTTTGCAGAAGATAACGCATCATTAAAAACTCACGTTTACTGTGAATTTAATTTTGATAACGAACACAAGAATAATGTGGATACGACAGTTTGCAGTGGTTCAGAAACTATTTCGCATAGCAATAGTCTGCAAGTGCCTACGAAACTAGAATCGATGATGATCTTGAATGATATTGTTACACACAAACCACCGAAACCTAAGAGAAATTCGTCTCGTACTCAAAGTATGCGTAATAGAGCTAGACCAATCTGGAAATGTATTGATACTCCGCCTTCATCGCCTGCTTTAAAAAGTGATTCCGACAATTACATGGTTCCTTCCATGAGTTCAACTTGTTCCACATATGGTATTACGCAGGACGATATGAAAATTAAGCAAGATTCGATCGATTCGAAAGTAATGCAACAATTCTTGCATTCTGCGAATTGTACGCTACAATCTGACGATAATAAACAGAGCGGAAGTGAATTTTACAGTCTACAAACTTGTACCGATAAAAATGATATTTCGCAGGATGAACAGATATATGTCAGAAACGACTCCTCATGTTTAACAAAAAATCATCACGTAAAAAAGATTCATGATTCGAGGAAGGAATTGTGCACATCTTACGATAAGGAACAAATAAATTTATTTGAAAATGACGTTCCAACAAAAAATATGTATGAAGCTTACGACTCACTAGAACCAAGTGAAGTTTCCTGCGACCTGCAAAGAGAGGAGCTGTCGCTCGATAGTTCGAATTTACAATCTACTAATGAACATATCAACAATCTTGATGCGAGCGTGAATTTTAAGATAACTCGTGCAATCGAAGGAACTGTGAAATTACTTTCGAAGGAATTCGAAAATCTAATGAGGCAGAAGCAATACTTGACGAAGGAGAAATATTTGCAATTGACGCACGGTCAGGAGACGAGCAAAAACTTTGCTAAATTGGAGGCCGAGCGGGATGGTAGATTTTACGCAATCAAACGCAATAATGTACGGCTACATTCGTGTGGCGAAGACAGTGATTGCGCTGATGTGTCAGCGATGGATAGATCACTAATGGAAAGTGGCTCTTCCACATCCGCCTCAAGTTGTACTAATTCGCCTAAGAGAATGTGGCCGCCTGCGTCGCGATGTTCGAGTCACACAAAGTGGACGAAAACTCTACCGACGATCGATCAAACGATACTTTCCACGAAGCATCCTTATGCAGGTATCAAACAAGTAGAAAATGCTTGCATATATTCTACGTGTTGTTAAATTTTACGTGTCAGTGTCCCAAAATTAAATAGAAGTTTACGCATTAAACAGTTTATAGAAGAAATACTTTTTCTATTTACACATATCTCGTTTTATTGTAAACGTAATTGTATAATACCTGTATATATACAAAGATAGTTCAAAAAGTAAAAGAAATGTTTGAAAAAAGTATATTAATATACGTAGTTATATTAAGTAAGAAAATAAGAAAATAAGTAGTCATCGCCAAAATGATAACTATGCGGAATTAATTTGAATTTTACATTTATTTGAGAATCTTTTAATTAATGAAACTTTTTGTAGTTTAATACATAGGTAGTCAATAATATAAAAGATTTACTTTGTTTTAAAATTTTAAAGGTCACTTCTGTTATCAGAAAGCATCAGTGGCCTTAGAAATCTAATAAGTAAGCAGTCATTACTCTTTTATTTCTATTTTCAGTTTAAAATATTGTAAAAATAAAAAGTGTTGAAGCATATTTTTAAAAATATATTTTATTTAACCATTGCTAGCAATTCCTAATCTAACATAACAATTGTATTATCAAGAAATGTTAAAGACAACCAAAGTTTCTGAGGTTGTTCAGATCGCTATTGTGACTTTCCGTAAGGCCCGGAAAATCCGTCCGAACTATTGGCAGAGATTGTAAATGATTTGAAGGCGCAAGATTGTTAAAAAGAAACTTATGGTACAATGAGAAATCTTGTAAGATTAAGACTTGGCATTTCTTGATAATATTATTAATATAAATATCGATAATATAATTATTGTTAGATTATGAATTGATAGCAGTATTAAATTTCTTGTATTTTAACATTTATATTTTTTTTTTTTCAAAAATTTCCTCTTTCTTTTTGAAGTACCTTTGTAATTAAATACGAAAGTGAATTGTGTCTTGACGAAATACCATAGTTAATCGTCCACTTATTCATTGCTTATGAACAATCGCGTTCAATTTTATTTCAAGGCGACAGCATCTTACTTTTCAGTTTGAATGCTTTCCAAATCATGCGAAGACTTTATTAATATTTTTATCATTTTCATTTTGCATGGAACCGCACCTTGTTCTTCTCATTAAGTTACAACATTATCCTTATTTCCTTTTCGTCGCTATTCTGCTCTCTACCTGTAATGTCGCGTTATATTTTTGTGCAAGAAGTTCCATGTTAAATATCGATGATATTAATTGTAGAAAATTTGTAAAACTAAATTTTGAACTTGATCTTCTTGCACACATAAAGAAAAAATTATTGAACATATTCTACACACACACACACACACACACACACACGCGCGCGTGCGTGTGTGTGTGTGTTTACATATTTGATAAATTTATTTATTTTTATATTATGTATATATATTTTTATTATTAAAAAATAGTGCTTCTCTCTTATATTGTAATTTATTTATTTTCTTAAAAATAAAAATTCTTAAAAATAAAAATTCCTCAATAAACATAAAAAAAAGAAATCCAATTATGCAAATTCAATAGTAGCGATTAGTGCATGTGTGTGCGCGTTGTCAACAGTTGGCAGTAGTGAGGGGCGAATCTCGTTAAAAATTATTGACAACGAAGAAGAAAGTGGCATGAGACGTGCCTGTTCGTTGAGTGATCTTTCCATCAGTCCTTCAAATAGGTTATTGCATGGCCCTTTACAAGGTATCTTATCGTTCTGTTTGAATAATATGTTCTCACATTTGATGTCATTTTCATTAAAGAAAATTTTTGTTAGCTATTTTATAATTATATTTGTTTTTTGTATATTAAATATATGACAATATCTATGTAAATTTCTTCTCCGAATTAGTGACAATAGTTTCAGGAAAATTAGGAAATAAAAATATAAGTGCAGCGAAATTGGGAAGTGTCAATCCTAGCAGCCAATTCAGATATATGTCAGGAAAAAATCACTCGACTCACATAACAAGAAGCAGCAGTGTTGGTGTTTTAAACCAAGTAAGTTTTGCGATGTGTATGGACAATAAAAACACTGAAAATCATATATAATGCGCGCGCGTGCGCACACACACCCACAAAGTATACGTTAAATAAAATTGTCATTTATAGAGTGATTCTGAATCGGACGCTGGTATAACAGGAGGAAGTAGAGGCTGGGGCGGTCACTCTAGCACCAACAGCAGAACAAGTGGTTTGATGAGACCAACGATTAGTTCTCAAAATAAAATCAATCATCAAAATAAATTGACTTCTTCTGGTAACAATATTTCATCAATCTTGAGAAGACGAGGAATGCAAGGAGCTTTCTCAATTGGTATTTAAATTTCACTTTATATCAGCAATTAATATTAACAAATATTGCTGTTTACTTATATACATTTCTTCCACAGTTAATCTAAGTCAAGCAGGAAATCAAGAAGATTCCAGTTCAGAGGATACTTCATCGAATGGAAATGGAGGAAAACCGGCACTACCACCAAGACCTAGAAGTATCAGTATTGATCATTCCTCTGTTAGGTAAAAATTTGATACTTTGATAGCTCTCTTAAGTCGCAGTCCGAGTAACACATTGCTCGTGAGCATCATTTATCCTTGTTTGACATTTGATAAATAACTTTTGCACGCCACTGTACATATATGTATAGTGCGTCGTTAAGTGATATTATTTCTCTGAGTCAAGCAATGATAATGTAATCAATGAAAAGATTGGTTGGATTAAAACTTTTAAACAAAAATATGAACTGTAATTAAAACTTGCACAATAGTATTTATTATAATAAAATAATCTTGACAATATATTTTTTGAAATCAAACTCGTCAGAGAATGTGTATATTAAAGCAGATATTTACTTAAATTACAATAATATAATAAGCATAAGTATAAATTATTTATATACAGTATTTATTTGACTAGCTTAAGTCTACCTGGTACAACGGTAAGAAGATCTGGATCAGCAATCATCACGAATGGTCGGAGTGGTATTAGCACAATCGGACAAGACGGAAGTAGGATATCTGCGGCAAGTAAAAATCAGTTGGAGCCTAGTCCACACGAACTACCAGTTAAAGATACCGATCGTGCTATCGATGTAACTAATGTTAAATGTGAGTATACCAAAATTATCATTAAACGCACAATATCGTAATTATTATTCAAAAACGTAAATCTACAAAATAATAAGTATTATAATACAATTTTCGGGTGTTCTTCCGAATGAGACACCCTTGCAGCTGAGTTGAAACTTTACAGATAATATTGTTTTACAATGTACAACGTCCCGTTTCAAATAATACATTAAGATTTCTCGAAAACTATGGTAGATACGGAAAAATGTTTCAAACAAAAGTTGTATAGTTCGGAGAGGGACATAAGAAGGTACTATTGATTTGACCTTGGGTGGCGTCGCTAAGGCCAGGTCAAGGTCACGTCGATTTTTTTAAATGGAACCCCCTATTTTTCATTACATTTTCTTATAGCTTAGCTCAAGAGCTTTTCAAAACACTATAATAAAATATTTTTTTATTAAGTACTTTTCGAGTTATAAGGTTCGAAAGTTACAGTACAGTCGGTATTAATATTACGCAAGTTGTCCGACCGACGGCTAAAACCTCTTGAATGTTGTTCATGATCATGTGAATAACATTTGTCAAGATCAAGGTCATTGGAGATTGTTTCTCTTATTTTCATTTTTACGTAAAAAAGAATTTTCAGTGCAAAAATGAAAATAAGAGAAACAATCTCCAATGATCTTGATCTTAACGAACACTTTGAGGTACAAACGAAAATAAAAGAGATACAAACAGGTACAAACGATTCTCTTTCGAATGCCGTTGGTCCCATTTCGATAACTTGTAAATTGACTAAGTTCGCTATATAGAGGTTGCGCAAAAATTGAATAGCGCTGTATCTCCGAACCCTTTGAGATACAAACGAAAATAAAAGATGTACAAACGGGTACAAACGATCCTCTTTCGAATGGCATAAATGAAATTAGAAAATCTTAAAGTTGCGCGTTGGCCATTTTTTATTTTTCACTTTTTGTTTAACTATTTGAGAGGTACAAACAGGTATAAACGAAATAATGATCGGTACAAACAGGTACAAACGAAGTACAAACGCGCTATGGTATTAATTTTTATCTTTGATAAAGTTGGGCGCCAGGTTCACATCGGTAGTTTAGTCCGTTCTACCAGCGCACGAAATATTTGGTCATTTTGGGATACCCTGTATATTGTAACGATATTATCTGTAAAGTTTCATCTCAATTGGAAATGTTCCATTCTAAAATTTCTAATTTTGTTTCCAATTCGAGGTTTATATAATTGCAATGTATTTATACAGGGTGTTTAGCGTGACGGGTCTGCATGATTTTTTAGACATTTCTAACAACATGTGTGAAATTGGCATCTCATCTTTTGGCACCGCAAGTTTTAATACAAGTTCCATTGCAATCCACCTGCAATAGCTCTATAGTTCCTGATAGGTGTTAGAAATAGTTCCGTTGATTTAACTAAAAAAAAAGTGAGTGAGATATTGATGTAATAGTATATAGTGATCTGTCAATGACACGTAAATCATCTGTGTATAAGTTCTATTTACACTATGACCAATCGTCTTTAGGATTTCCTTAACTGTTGGAAGTGTCTAAAAAAATCATGCAGACCATTATGCTAAACACCCTGTATGCAATCATTATCTATTGATTTATATATCTATGTTGTATAGTTGATATCTAATATTATACATATATCTAACATTTTTATTCTTGCAGTAGACATGGATAAAATAGGTAATTAAAAGATATCTACTAATGATATATATACTAATGATATTCATTGTATCTAAAAAGAAATTTCTCACAATGAAAAATAAAATGATCGTCGCTGCGCTACATATCGGATATTTCTCTTTCACATTTGCTACATGTGAAATAATATTTTTCGATTTATTGGATTTTGACTCAGCGTTGGATGGTGCAGCAGCGTATAATCCTTTGCCAACTGCTTCTAAGGCCTGACATTTGTATAATAAAAAATCTGCTATTTGCTCGGGTACACTAGAGTCTATTTGTTAGTTTCATAACCCGTCGATTCGATGATTTCGACGTCGATTCTATTTCTCACTGGGAAGTTTTACGAGAATACGTTACGAGTCTTATGATTCTTAGAATTGACCCATTAAATAATATCTTAAGACGCTAATACGGTCCTCTGATTTAGTGACTTCTTAAGTCTGTACTTAAGACAGTCTTGAATATAAGATCTGACTATGAATACCGGCCTTAGAATGCCAACGTTTCATGAACATTGCAGTTTAATTTATCAGAACGAGGAATAATTTAACGAACTTTAACGCTTAATAACTTGTTTCACGAAGCAAACCGCCACGTTTTTCTGTCAAATTCTTTCGTTTTGAGTGAAAACGCGAATGAGTATATTTTTATTAAAATTTAAGCTAAGGAAGCGATTCTGAATAATTACCTTTTTTTTATTTTTATTAGAATATCGGTGCAATTTTTGTTAAAATCCATTAACTCTATATTCAATTTTAATTATTCGTATTTTTAATTGTACACACGTGCGCAGTCATTAATAGGTTATTTGGAGAACCCTCAGAAAAAAGTTTTAAAGATTATACTCTGGTGAAAATTTTTCTCATAATTTTTATACGAATTGGAACATTTTTCAAAAATATTCAGAAAGTTTACATCTCAGAATTTTTCATACAAGTGAATTCGGAAATATTCTGAAATTTCTCATCCCATAATTTTTAAAAAATATTTTTTAATTTTTTAGATTTTATAACATTTCATCAGAAATTATACTTACAAAAACTTTTAGAAATCTTTCGATATTTCATAAGTAACATATGTGAAAAATTCTGAGAAACGATGTAGATTTTCTAAGAAGTGTGCCAATTCGTATAAAAAATGTGAGAAAGTTGTAAAATTATATAGAAATTCTGAAAAATTATATGAAAATTTCTGAGAAAAATTTTCACCAGGGTACGGCTCAATAGATATCAATTAGCTTGAATGAAATTCAGATCTAAAGCCAATATAACATGCATACCTTACAATATATCATTATTTATTAAATTTATTTTCTCATTATACATATATGATTATTGGATTTATACCTAGTATAAATATAATACTGATACGCATTCTTACAGTGTCCACACAACTATGCAATACGATTGCAGACGAGCTTACACGCACTGCGGACAATGTCGTGCAATTGTACAAACGTTTGACGATAGACAATGACCCATCTACAGGAGCGATCGACCGAGATACAATGCTACGAGGATTGGAATCGTCCGTTAATGAAACTATGCGTACTCTACGACTGGTTGTTGCTGGTGGTGAGAATGACAATGACGGAAGTAGTGAGAACGCCATCACTAATGAAGCGACGGCAAAGTTTCAAGAATTACTCGCGGGTCAGGATCAGAGCAAGGTAGTCAATATGATGCAACAATATTCCGAACTGCTCTTAACCATGATGCAACAGAAGATGGGAGGGACTCAATCAAATCATACATAAATTAATCCGTCCATCTGAATTGGAAAAGATAAACATGAATGCCATCGTATTTAACATACCGATATATTCAGATAAGAAGAATATATCTCGCAGTAGTCTGTTTTCAAGCATTATATTATTCGTAATTCATTTTCTTTAATTTGAGAATTTAAGGCTCTTGAGTAGTCGCCGTGGCCATACTGAATCGTGACATCATAAGCAAGAAATGACATCTTAATTTTTGTTATATGCTATTTGTAAATAAAAATAATTTGGATAAAACAAAATAAGATCACTTCACAATACTTGTAAAAATGGATCAAAGTTGTCTTTATCCTCCCTAACAGTCAGTAAATAGTTGTAAAAGATGTTAAAAGCAGGGTTGGTAAAGACTAATGTTTTTTTTTTTAAGAAATAAAATATATTTTGTTTCTTCTTAAATATGTTTTTAATGCTTCAAATATGCTTTAAACAGTACTATAAAAAAACATTTAAAACATATTAAAAACATTAACTAAGCATGTTTTAAACTGTTTAAAACACGTTTAAAAGATGTTTTTTTACCAACCCTGGTTAAAAGGCATATGCAGCACGTACTCAATATGCATGAGCAGCTTATTTTCACTTTTACGTTCACATGCCTTGATTATTTACTAACTGTTAATGGGGAAGGATAGTTTTGAACCATTTTCACAAGTATTTTAAAGCGATTTCATCATTTCGTTTTATCCAAATTGTCTTTACTTATAAATAGCATGTAACAAAAATTAACATGCTACTTCTCACTTATTACATCACAATTCATGGCCGCGGCGACTACTCAAGTATAGTTTGCTTTATAAAAATAAAGTAGATATGTCACCGCACACAAAAACTTTGTATACATATCGCATAGTTACGAGGAAATTCGTTCTGCTTTTGCCAATTGTGGATTATATCTGCTTTTGTGATTAATTTTTAAATTCAGTATACAATAAATTGATATTAGTAGATGTAACATGACATGCATCATCGAAATCCATTATCATCGTTTTTATATTCTATATATGTGAAAAATTATATATTTTCAACTACTAATAGATATTAGAATTAGTCTACGCCATCTACATTTACCTAGACAAATTGCGAGATGGACAAGTATGGACAAAGTAAATATCATAGATTGTTTAAATGTACGTATAAAGCCGATTGTAACGACCTCATCCATTTGTATTTTGAAGCCATATATCGTGAAATGCCAATTAACTAAAGACTAATAGAATAGTTTTCAAACAAATATATACATGTATACATTGAGCGATATTAATACAATAATATATTAGTGCTCTTATTATGTAACCAAAGGTTATCTGTATTAACGGTCTAAAGAAGGAATATCCTTTTTCCTTCACTATCAAAGCTTTTCGGAAAATCGTTATAAAAAATATGCAAAATATGAAACTTGCCAGTATAAAATAAAAATCTAACTATAAGTTTAGTCATTGCATTAAGTGTTAAATCAGGCTCAAGTAGCCTGATTTGATACTTAATGCAATGACTAAAAATATATAGTTAGATAATAAAGATTTGCCAATATTTTAATAAAATTTTATATTTCAAAATGTAAAAATTATAGAAATATATTTTATTTAAGATTATTAGTTATCTTATGTTGACGATAAATTATATAATTTTAATATAGATTCTTAAACTTCTTTTTTAATAATGGACTGAATTGAAAAAAATGAAAGTTTATATTATCATTGATTCATCATAATACCACATATATATACCACAGTTATATATATATGTATATATCGTATTATATGATACTACGATAATTGTATTTTATCACGTAAATTAATATGCTTGCATATTTTTTTTACATAAACATATTGAAAAAAGCCACATGTCAATTCGAAATTGTTCTGCTCAATAGCAAAAAATATATCTGAATAAATTTTGCCGAATTATATCGCATAATCAAAGTATTAAAATTACGTATTACTATTGTAATATTCCTTTTTTCTATTTTTATGCATATTATATTTTTTATTTTAAGAGGACTGGGCAGTCAAATCGCTTAAAAATAAAGATTTTGTTCGTAAGCAATTGCACAAAACACACACACACACACACACACACACACACACAAAGAAATGAAAGCGAATCTGGATTTGTCTTTTTATTCAATGTTTATTATCAACATCCTTCCTACACGCGAAGAACTAAAGATAAAAACCAATCGTATTAAAGAATTACTGATCGCTCACTCATCGGTTTTCTCTGCTGAATGTAGCGAGTTTTCAGATAAAAAAAAATCGGAACATAATTATTAAAATGGCGTTAAAAAATGGTGATTTTTCAAATAATTTTTTTGTGAAAAAAAAACGCAATTTTTGAGTTTTTTAAACTCGAAGTTTGGCGGGAAATGATACACATATTTTACACATCCTCAATTTTTTTCAAATCGATCTAAACCGTCTGTTTGTAATTAGGACAAAACCAAGAAAAAAGTTTCGAGAAAAAAACGTTTAAAATTTAAAAAATTTGTACAATTACTAATATACATCTCCAGAAAAGTTATAAGATGTTTCTGGGACATCAGCCTATCGCTGCTGTTCATTATTTGTACTGTAAGATAGAAAAAGTGAGCTGACAGCCTTTTTATACTATAGCTCCTTTTGACGGCTGATGCTCAGCTATCAGCAGATGGACGAAATCGAATCCGTGTGTCGCTCGACCCTTTCGGTTGCCAAATCAATAATTTTGCGAATTTTAACATCTATCAATGAATTTATTCAGAGGAAGGATAAAACTTTCGAAAAATAAAATTAAAAAAAGCAATTTTTGACTACCTAGTCCCCTTAAGGCGATACTGGAGTGATGACTGAACTTGATCGATAGTACAGATTTTTTGAAGTCTCTTAAGTAGTCACCACAGTTATATTGAATCGTGACATCAAAAACGAGAAATGTTACGTTAATTTTTGTTACATGCCATTTATAAATAAAGACAATTTGGATAAAATAAAATGATGAGATCGCTTTAAAATATTTGTGAAAATTGACGAAAACTATGTTTATCCCCTGTGATAATCAGTAAATAATCGTAAAAAGTGATGAAAGGTACGTGTAAGAGAAAATAGGCATATATTATTATTATTGAATAAAAGCACCACGTATCTTTTATCACTTTTCACGATTAATATTTACTGACTGTCAGGAGAGATAAATATAGCTTTCATCCATTTTTACAATTGTTTTAAAATGATCTCATCTCATTTCGTTTTATCCAAATTGTTTTTATTTACGAATGGCACGTAATAAAAATTAATGTCATTTCTCGCTTCTAACGTCACGATTCAATACGGCTGTATGATGACTACTTAGGAGCGTAAAAGCCGCAACACAAACTTTTACATAACGCATAGTGCATAAGCGAATCAGTCAATCAGAATCCTTCTTTTTCTCCCATTTCATGGAAAAGAATTTTGATTAGCTGATTCTCTTGTGCACTATGTGTTATGCAAAAATCTGTGCTGCGGCCTTTAAACGAGAAGCACAGACTCTTACATAATGCATAATGCACAAGAAAATGAATCAATCAAAATTCTTCATTTCCTTCCTTTCCTTGAAATAAAGGAATCTAAAGCGGGGAGCACAGCTCTTGCATAACGCATAATACATAAGGCATAAGAAATTGAACCAATCATAGTTCTTTATTTCATGGAAAGGAAAGAAACGAAGAACTTTGATTTATTTTCTTATAGAAGTTCGTGCCTGTTAAAATTTAAGTGATTAAGACCCAATGCACCAACGGTACTTTGATTTTAAGGCTTAAACTCTCTCTGTCTCTATCTCTTTTTCGGCTTTAAAACGAGACAGATAGAGTTTTAAGTTTCGCTTAAAGTCAAAGTGACGGTGCAATCGGGCCGAAGAGTAAGAAGTTAATAACGCGATACTAATTTCATGATTTATTAGTTTTGTAGACATGTACACATGTTTAAAATTTAATAATATTCGATTTTTAGGCAGCACTTTTACATAAGAAAATGTGGGGAGTTAGCAGTCTAGTGTAATATATAGAAGTCTATGTGCTTCCCGCTTTAATTTCCAATTAAAAATTTTTATAATAATATTTTTAATTCATTTTTTATATTTCGTTCTGTCTCACTCAAACGCATACATCTATCCTTATTTAACATATTGCTACGTTATCTCTTGCAAGATCGAGCACCTACTGCTGAACATAATTTGACACAATTACTGCTTTGTTTACCATTCTGGGTCTTTGCTGAGCATACGTATATACGTAAATTTGTAAATTAATATTTTTTTAAGCTTTTAATCTTAGTTTTATAAACTCAGTGTTATTCGTTTACGTAATTCGACGGGTAGTGTAATGTCGCTTTTTTGTTCATACGAACTATAAAACTTTTGTATTAAGGAAACATCTGTGTTAGGTGATAGCTCTACACGAGTTGAAAAATAAGTTTTTAACTTTTTTCGATTTTGGTATAAAGCCCACTGCAATATGTCAATTTTGCGTCTACTTCAATTCTGTAAAAGAATTTTTAATTCCGTTCAGTCAATTCGCAGATTTACGATATCAATCTGCAATGTTGCGATAATTTGATCACTCCAGTATCTCTCACAGTTCTCTTTATAAAATTCTACTTAATTCATAATGAGTGCCATTTAAGTTAAAATGATGGTCATTCAGTAGTACATATTATATTATTAATTTATCGTTTACAAAGATCTTAATGTTCATTATGAATATTCGAATCACATTTTTAATATCATATTTATGACTGGAGGTCATGAATGGTAATTGAAAATCAATTATTAAATTTTACTGAATATATGAGTGACATCCATTATTTTTTGTGGTACACAAATGCTTCTTTTTATTTATAATCGAGAAAACAAAAATTTTGAATTTAGATTATTTTTAAATGATGTTATTTATACATAATTGATACTAAAATAATTAATACTAGAAATTAAAATATTTTGTAATTAGTATTAATATTTTTAACGTTATTTATTAGTATAGTATTTTTAACGTTATCTATTAGTATAGAAAAACATAGATAAATATGAATATGGAATCTCATAGCATATATGACGATAATTAACTAGCGTCATGCGAAAGCCATTCCAAATTATCACTCTTTTTGTCATATTTACTGAATGAAATATGTAATTACTAATTATT